GAAAATGTAGTGCCCCTGGGTTAGAGATGTGGAATGCCTTGAAAGAACCTGAAGGGAAATAATACCGCACCACTCTACAGTTAACCTGGTGAAGTAATGAACAAAACAGACCTTAAAGAGGGGCTGTAACTTTCAGAAAAGTTTCCACAGATCAAAATAATGAGAAGAGAGAACAGAGGAAACCACAAATAGAGGAAATGAAGATCCACAGAAAAAGCACATCAGAAGCATTGCTGGCAAAATGGATAATGTGGCTATTGCTTGTCAGACCCTGCTGACTGGAGATATGTCACCTCAGCTGGCGGTGTGGTATGGCCTTGACGCCAGCAGAAGTCCTGGCCAGCCATGTGATTGGCTTATATTCCCCAAACAGAGACTTGCACTAGAAGAAACCTGTCAAAATGATAGATGCAGGAAATAGTTCATGTTATAGGGACATTATTTGAAATATATCATTGAGCAATTTCTTTGAACCCCTAAAAGAGCTGTTCCCTCCAAGTAGGAATAATGGGCATATCAGGCTGTTTCTTAGACCTTAGAAAAATGGAAAAGGTAACAGGTGTGGAACAAATCAATCAAATTCTGGGCTAGGAAGTGCACATTTAATACTGTAGATGCTAACTGCAGGCAAGTCCTCAGGGGAAATGTGGCCTTAATTGGAGGGAGTGTATCAATATTAATGGAATTCTTTTAATTCTTTGTTGCTACTATACATGGCCACATTTCTTATTATAGCTTTTAAGTGGCTAAGTTTATCTGGCAGCAGTTTTTGAAATTCATGGATAGAGAAGGGCCTAAATGAGGTCCATTCCAACCAAGGTGTAGTAAGCATCTAACTCTCAAGCTTTCACCTCATGACACTTTCCATCTCCAGGATGCCTACAACATTTCAAGCAAGCACAGGTCAGGACTAGATGCATCTACTGTTCTTCTTGGCTCTACACCCTTAACTTGTGTAATTTCAAATTAATGATACTTTATTGCTCCAGCTTTTCATTATTTTGCCTTTAAAGCCTTTGATACTTTAATAATTCCAATTTTTCTTGAGTTCATCTTTAGTCCCTTCATATTCCATGTGTACTATCATTAGAAAATATCGTGCCTCAAATACTCATTTAACTATGCACACTCAACTATTGAGAGAGAAGAACAATGATAATTTCATAAAGTGGCTGATCCATTTGCTATTCCATGAAGACTAAGATGGGAGGGAGATGCTATTTCTTCAGGCAGTCACAGTTCCCATGAGCCTTTCTTACAGGAAGAGCATCCCATCATACTGTTATTCTCATATGCACAGATGCACATTTGGTACAACGCATCCCCCTAAGACAAGACACCTGCTTCATTTGAGACCCAGCTGAACAATGATTCATTTTGACACTGCAGAAAAGATATATTTATTAAGTGATAGTTCATCAGTCTCCAGTGAGACCTTTCTCTTTCTCAGGGATCAAAAGCAATTTTGACTGTGAGCTTTCTGCCTTGTAGGTTGCCAGCTAATTACCTCTCAGTGTTAATAGAAAATTGCTATTAACTTCCAGCTTCTAAATGTGGCCATTCTTTTATAGCTTAGCACTAATATTCCATACTGATACTGGAGTCAGTGAGTCATCCAGTGAGATATTTCTGTACATTAATAGGCCTGTAGTGAATGCAGAGTGCTGATCAATTTTATTGAGTAAACATGACAATATTACCAATAGTTTGTTTAGCTCTCAGTATGTGTTTTACATTCACCATCTCTTTTAATCCTCAACAACCCCAGGAAGAGGTCCTGTTCCCCTGATGTTACAGCATAGTACCTGTCTGAAAGAGCCCAGGAAATGTCTCCATAGCTTTCTGTGTATATATGTGTCCCAGGAAAGCAGCAGAGTCATTGCAGAGCCACGTGCAAATGAGCATACCAACTACAGACCAGTTCTCCTCCAGGAGTGGGCTGTCCAGAAGTTGGGATATATTTTCCCGAGGAAATGATGCTGTCACAAAAGCATATTGACCAGTGAGTGTCTAAAGCAGGTATAACCAGCCTAAGCCATACTGCTCACCACTGTTGCCATAGAAAAGTCCGCTCGAGGATTTCCCCATTGACTGCTGTGGACACATTTCTCCATTGGAGAGGGAGTGGAAACCCATGCTAGAACAGGAGCATCATGAGATTCCACTTCTGACTCGGCTGGCTCCAAGGCTGTGTGGGCAGTTGGGAGGAAGGAGAAGTGAGTGGAACTGGCACAGGGGCTGAAGGGCAGGAGACTAGGGGTGCAGAACAGAATACGTACGACCTGTGAGGGTGAAGTTCTTGAGAGGAGAGGAAGACGGCCAGAGAGTTGGGGACCTACGACTCGTTGGGCCTAACACCCACTGTCTCTGCCTGCCTACTGACATCTCCATGGCTTTCTGTGAAACTGAGACCAGGCTTATGGCTTTTCCCTACTCAGCTGCTTCTAAAGCAAACATAGTGGGCCTAAGGGTTTTAGCTTCTATGAAGGGAAGAGCCCCTTCTAGGCCTTCCAGAACTTTCCTTTCTCACTTGGACCCAAAGAGCAAATATCAGTCAGCAGTCACTGTGGGTGGGTTTGTGGGCCCATAAGGGCTGAAATAAGATACATAAACATTTCAGATGTAGCCAGCCAAGGTGAGACTTGTGGAAAAAAAGTGAGGAATAATCAGCTCCTTTATCTCTTCCTGTCTCTATGAGTCTTCTGTCTTCTAGCTGGGGGAGGGGAGGGACCAGAGGGCAAAGGCCATAGGATGACAGTTTAGTATCCTTCACGTCAAGGATGGCAGTGTCCTCCAGGGCCGTGTCTCTCTGAGAGCTGTCGGAACCACTGGGGAACCTAAAGCTCAACTTGCCTCTCCAAACGCACCTCCTACCACCTCTTCTTTACTGAGTGCTGCCTCCCTGTCTTCTCTGCTGCGGGGAATCATCTCTACACTCCTGGAAAACCCTGTGTTTTCAGACCGTATCCCAGACCCACTGAATCAGTATCTGTACAGAAAGGTCCTGGAAAACTGATTAACAGGGTGACCACCAGGTAGTTCTATTGAGGAAATTTGGCAAACACTGCCTGACTGCCCGCCCACGGCCCCCTTTGCTGATCTTCAAAGGTTCCCAGGACATTTCTAAGCCCCTTCTAGGCTCAGAACCATTGCATGTACCATTTCTTCCTGAACAGGCTCTTTCTTGCTCCCTTCTTATGATGTGACTGAAATGGTTTCCTCAGAAAGACCATTCATGACCACTTCTTGCCATCGAAGCCAGACTCCCCTCATTTATTCTCTCCTAACCTCTGTGCATTTATCATAGTTTGTGTCATATTCATTTGCTTTAATGTCTACGCCCAGCCACCAGTACCAAGCAAATACAGGAATGCTTCATATTTTTATGTGAGAGAATGAGTGGAAAAACTGTGTTGGAAGAGGGATACTGAAGGTGGGTTGGATGTTGCTCAAAAACAAAGAAATGAACATGTGAAAGTTTTAATCTCTCAAGTAAATTTTTACATGTCAATTGAAATCAAGTTGATGGGATTGTCTTGGTTACTCTTGTCATTACTGAGACAAAATACCTGACACCCAAAGTTAAAGGGGGAAAGGTTTATTTAGCTCACAGTTTGTACGGGTTTCAGTTCATAAAGGGCTGGCTCCAGGGCAAGGTGGCAGAGGAGAAACAGTTCATGGAAGGCAGAAGGTTGAAGGCAAGCAAGAGGCAAGACAAGCCTCTTTCTATTCCTCGTGTTACATCCAGGCCACCAGGGCTAGGGCAATACCAAACCAATCAGTGAACTGATTTAGTAATCACCCAAGCCCTAACCTTAGCACTCTTAATCCCAGCATGGCACCATAAATCAATCATACATTCTAGATTCCACCACCTCTGAAAAGCCCCACCCATGACTATATGAAGCTTTGGGGGCACATCTAAACACAAGCCACAACAGGGCCCAACAAGGAAATATATTTATGGGTGTACTTGATCTGATTCCTTACAAGATCTCTGTCTTTGCAAAGCTTAGATTCTAGCAAGGATGACAAATCTGAAGCAACCACAGATATAATTTCATAGTTATAATTTTGATAAATGCAATGAAAGAATTACAGAGACCTGCAAGAGCTTCTAGCAGAAAGACTTGACACAGTCTGTAGGCCATCAAATGGTCCATAATTTGGGAAACTTTGCCCAAAGAATCAGTTATGCTCTGCCCTGCCTCCTGTCAAAGTTGGCATGAGGGGAGGGAGGTGCAGTGAAACAGTTTCTCAGCCTCGGCACAACTGGCACTTTGTACTAGTTAATTCTTTGTTTTGAGGCACTGTCCAATGCTTAGCAACATCCTTGGCGTCTACCCTGTAGCACCCACAGTTGTCTTGACGTTGCCAAATGTCCACGGCTGGGAGAAGGTGTGACAAAATCTGACCCTCCTCCCTTCCCCAGTTGGGAACTACTTTGGTACATAAAACTTGGTTTTTAAAAAATGTGTCTTCTAGCAGGCATAGTAGCACACACTGGCAATCCCAGAATTCTGGGAGGCTGAAGCAAGTAAATCCCAAGTTTGAGACCAGTGTGGGCAATTTAGTGAAAAAGGAAGGGATAGGTCTTGGGGTGTATGAAGGCTCTGAGTTCAGTCCCCAATATGGAAGGGAGGGAGGGAGGGAGAGAGGAAGGAAGGGTCTTCTTACAATTTACCTAAAGCAGTAAAGCATACCAGGTATTTATTCGCTAAACAAGTCTGAGTGCCTGGCACTGGAGACACAGCAGAGAACTAAAACCTGTGTTTTCCTAAAGCTGCATTCCAGTGGGGGCAGTGGATAGTCAACTTTGAAATACGTACTATTTCAGAAGAAGGGGATTAGTTGGTCATATGTTGGTCATTTGAACAGAGTCTTGGAAGAATAAGGGATGAGCTACATGAGAGGGAAGACCGAGAGCAGGAGGGAAGGCCATGAGGGTCTGTGCCGATCTCGCCTTCCGACTGTGTCTGACGCGTGCCTTTGTGTTGCAGAGGGGCCTGCGCAGAAGGGCAGCTGAGCGAACTCCAGAGTGGCCTTAATTCTGCAGCCTTTGTGCCCATCCCCAGCTCCACAGGTGAGTGGCAGTGGCTCCTCCTCATGGGACAGCAGGAAGGCGGGGAGTGGCTTGGCACGTTCTCTCTTCTGCCTCTGACTGGAGCTCCAGGTCAAAGAACCCAGTGTCCAGACTCCTAAAGCATTAGCAGCTGGGCATTTTTGTTCCATTGTTCTTTAAAGTAATGTGCCAGCCTAGGCTAGGCATTTTGTAGAACTAGTTTGGGGTAAGTGAAATTTCATCTGGTAAATGCTGCTACATTTGCCGCATTTAGTGACAATGCTCTGTATCTGACTGGTCTTTCAGCATTTCTATAGTATTTCCACCCACTGGAGCTCTTTTTTAAGCCTCACAGCAGCCACTGTGAAGTGGATCTTGTCATCCTCCTTGCATGAGGAAACTGAGGCTCTGAAATTGAGGGCCTTCTGGAAGGTTGCAAGTGGATGCAAGTACAGTCTGTTGTTTGACCAAGTCAGGTCAGGCTAATGTCACAGTCAGTGGACAGGGTCTGATGCATACATGTAAGTTAGGCAACAGTGGGCCAGGGATAGTTTTCTACATGTGGTAATTCATAAAAACATATTAAGTAATCATTAGAAAGGAAGTCACTCTGATTCAATTCAACAAATAATGATTATTGAGAGAACCACGCCGGGCACTGAGGAGCACACAGGGTATGCAAGATGGTTTCTGCTCTCAGGCAGCGTACGTACTCGGAGACAGAAATGACAGCAGAGCTTTGTGTGGTGACACACACCTGTAATCTCAGTGCTCTGGAAGGCTGAGGCAGGAGGATCACAAGTTCCTAACCTGAACAGCTTAGACCTGTCTCAAAAGAGATAATAATAATAATAAGTAGGAGAAGGAATAATTTGAAAAAAGGACTGGGGATGTAGCTCAGTCAGAAGACCCTGGCTTAGTCCCCAGTAGCATTAAACAGGTGGAAAAGAAGGGAAGGGGTGGAGGGAGGGAAGGACCCGGGAGCAGCAAGGAGTATGCTACAAGTAAGTTCGGGGATCCTTGGGAACTGGGGACACGGAGAACAAAGGCAGGTGAGATGACTGCGCATGTGCTGTATTAGGCTCAAAAGTTCTAAATGCTTTATGTGTAGCAGCTCATTTGTCCACTAAACAGGTTTGAATGTAAGGGCCGTGTTGTGTTCCCCTTTTTATGGCGAAAGCTCATGAAACGTGCCAGTGCCTTTCAGTTCATACATGGCCAGGCAGCATTTGGCCCCAAGGAGTGGAGCTCAGGTCTCTGGGGCTTGGAGGTTTCCTAGAGGAAGAGACCGTGCAGCTGAGATGGAATGTGGCCTCCTCTGTCGGGAGAGGGAAGGAGTGGGCAAAAGGAGTTCCGGGAGGCAGTCTCCGTGCTTGCAGGGTCCATAAAATGTCCTGTATTCTGCAAGCCCCCTGCTCCATGTGGCTGGGGACAAAGTAGCAGAGCCAGTTTATGAGCCACACATGTAGGAACCTTGGTCACTGTTCTGACAGCAGTGAGGAGCTCTCAAGGAGTTCCGGCAGGGGTGCAGAAGTGTAGAAGATGGTGCATGTAATGTACCTTAAAATGGTCACAAGATCTCCAGGCGCCCGGTGGCTTGGCTGTGTTGTGAGGAGAATTATACATGTCTTATAGGTTTATTGTGAGGTTCTGTAAAGCAGTGCACACAGAAGGGCTCTGTATCTACACCCAGGTCAGGTAATACTAATATTCTGATAAAAGTGTAAAGATTTGTTCTCTCTTTAAGTTTTAGAGCCTAGAATTGAAGGAATATTAGATAGGTAGTATACTCATGCCCTCCCCACCATAAAACTACTAGACCATCACACTGGGTTTTGGGTCGCTGTTTTTGTGGTGCTGGGGAGGGAACCCAGGACCTCGCACGTGCTAGGCAAGTGCTCCGCTGCTGAGGTACAGTCCTAGCCTTTAGAACATGGCAGTTATTTTCTAGAGGTAAAGTTTCCTTGGAACTGTGGAGGAGAAGTGTGATGGCTGTGGGAACCCTGGGGGACTTTAAAGGAGATATAGTATTGAGAGCCCTTCAGCGTTCCAAGTTTGTGTAAGCTGAAGAAGTTCACAAAGCCTGGAAGCTTCAGGAAGCCCTGACTACTTCATTTGCACATCTACTTGGTGGCTATTGAATTGAACTCTGCATGCGCTCTGGCTGAGGCCACCAGAAATGTGAAAGGTGGGTGGGTCACACATGCAGCATCTTGGCTGTGAATGGACACCAACTGACTCTTAATGACAAAATTTGGAAGATTTTATCATAATCAGAATGAATTTGGCATCCACATAAAATTGTACGGCAGAGAGAACTTATACATCTCCCTGGCTTCTAAAACTGACCTTTTCCTCCTACATCTACGTTAATGTAACAAGCAAATTTTTTTTATTTTAAAGAGAATTAAAAAAAAAAAAAACAACAACATAGACAAAAACAAAACAAAGCAAAAACAAAAATGATACAGGGTTTCAAAACAATGATAGGAATTAATAGTAATTATTATATTACATATTGTTATCTTCAGTGAAGTTGCTCAGATTACCAGATTAAGAATGCAAGATTGATCAAACCATTAAAGAGAATAAAAAATAATTTTAAAAAACACGCTAGACATGATGGTAGGAATTCACCAATGTTGTTATAACAAATTATTCTTACTGTGCTTGGGAAGCTTGTTATTTACTGCTTTTGTCACCTAATGACTGTGCCTCTAAATACCTTTGAATTTGTTCTACTCTGTGAGTCTTTTGGTGTTTCTGACCCTTAGTTAGAGAAACACCAATGGGTTAGACACAGTAGCACATGCCTGTAATTCTAACGCTCAGGAGGCTGAGGCAGGAGGATCACCAGAAATTCAAGGTCAGCCTGAACAGTAGAGTGAGACCCTGTCTCCAAAAAAAAAAAAGAAGGAAAGAAAGACCAATGGGCATGATACAGCAAGGGTCAGGCATTCCTGTAATTCCCATAAATGTTGTACCTGCACAGCATTGGTGACTAACTCTTACAGTTAGTTGTACAACCAGTAACTTCCTGGCATGTCAGTGTTTCACCTAACAGACACTGTGTTTTCTGTAGTACAATTAGATTTAAAACAGTGATTCTAGAAGTTCAGAAGGGTGCCTTAGGAAAAGGGCAGGGCTGGGTTATCAGGAGCAACATTTTTCTTAAAACCTAAGACAGAACAACTCCCATAAGAAGTCAGAAAGTTTACGTTTCTTGGGACTTGGTATCTGTGTCTAAATAGGCGTCCACGAACCATCTCCGAAGGATACTTAGTCCCTGTCTCACCCAGTAAAGTCAGTTGGTTAAATACATTACTAATGAGTCCGCAAACGCAGCCAGTGTCTGTTTCCTTTCACCTTTCTCCTGTCTGGCCTCCGAGGCTGTAACATACGCGGCTTTATTCCTTGGACAGTGTGATTGTAAGGTGGTGGTTTGTCGTAACACAGAGTCCTTTGCTGCTGGCTGTGGGCTCGTTACATTCTTTTTATTGCGAGCATCGGAGGAGACAGTGAATGTGGAACCCCTTAGCAGAGAGTGCCTGGAATGCTCTGTGAACACTTTCCCGGACTTCTCTACCTTGGGCTGTATAGTCTTCGTTTGCTATGCAAGGGAAGGGGTAGAGTCAGCAAATTTGGAAATTGGAGAAGGAAGCTGGAGCGAGGGCCATTGGCCCAAGGCCAAAGTCATTGGCTTTCCCTCTTTGTAACCATCGTGTTCATTCTTCTTGAGTTCTGAGGTGAACTAAAATAGCAGAGAGCAGCAGATTAGATAACTGACATTTCTCTCGTGCTGGTTTGATAATGTCATCTGCCAGTATTGTACGGGTCTGAAGCCACACAGCTGCCCTGTCCCTGCCCCAAGCTCCTGACTACACCCTTCCCATCCTGGGTACAGCTTCTTCCTGCCTCCCCCACCCGCCCTGATTTTTAAGCTCTCGTGTTGGTCTGTCTTTGGAGGAGAGAGCTGCACTGCCTTGACAATCAGTGACAGATTTCATTTATAAGAAATAAGGAGCAGTGTTCATGGTGAATGTGTGTTTTGGGCCCCAGTGAAATGCACTGTGGCTTTGTGCACAGTGGGTGAAAGGGCAGCAGCTCGTCAGGGTGGCCGTGCCTGCCCGTGTCACTACGTCTCTGTGACTGCAAAAGTGATATAAAGGAAACCCTTTGGCACTTTGACCCCACGGACGTAGGAGCCACTTTAACTTTCAAATAAATTTTTTGCCTGGCAGCTCTCAATGGAATGATCTATTTTCATCATCAGATTCTTATTTCTTTTTCAGTGTATGAAGTATAGTTGGGGAAGCCACTGTGTCTGCCAACTCTGCAGATAGATTGGAAATAAAAATAAGCAAAGCTCTTGAGGTGCTTGCTATAGTGTTCTAGGCCCTTTACTGTTCCCCCAAACCTTCTTCTTTCCCCGGGGCCAGGACAGGAAGAATTTGTGTTGATGACCCTGCCCACTCTTCATATGCCGTTAGAGAGCAAAGAGACCATGGATTTGGTGCTGGGCAGGAGGCAGGGTGGGAGGACGGCGTCTATGAGAATGACAGTCTTCCTTACCTAGTGCTTTTGGATTTTATTTCTTGTCCTTTGGGCCAAGATCAATGTAGTCTGAAGTAGGCATTTTTTTTTTCCATTTTTTCAGGATCTTTGGAAGTTCCCCAAGTTATTTTCGCCAGATCCAAACCCTTACCCACACAATCTGGAGCCCTTGCTACAGTTATAGGACAGAGAAAATCAAAGTCGATGAAGTAAGGGCAATTTAAGGTAATAGTAAGAATAAGAGCATATTTTTATTGTTACTGCTTTTTGACTTTATTCCACAGGAAGAGACTTAGTGTAGCTATCAAGAGAAGGGAGAGTTTGTCAGACTGACAGAGCGTGTGCTTATCATGAGCCTCTTCGCTCAATCCCCAGCATCACCAATTAGAAAAATAAAAATAAAAATAAAAAAGACAGTGAAGTTGAGTCTTAAAGTGCAGAGACTATCCAAAACCACTGGTTAAAAGTTTAGCTGTAAACAGCTTGCTCCTATATTAACCTACCAGTAGGTGGCGCTGTGGCAGTAAGAAATTTCTCTACCATTATTAGAGGCTTTTGTTTCAAAATATGGGGTCTTTGAGACAAATAAAAGAAACTAAAGCTATAGTAATTGACTTGTCACAGGTAAGGTGAAAGAGAATGTATGGGAAAACAGATTTTAAAGATGAAGATGCAGTTGTCTCTGAAGAATTTATTATCAAAGAAGGATTTTAGACAGGTAGTTTGTGAACTGGACTTCCAATTAATGGGGAGGTAAAGAAGGAACAAAAAACCTTTTTTAAAATTTTTGGTGAGGTTGGCTAATTATACTTTTTTCTGAGTTATTTAAAATAAACATACTATAAATTGGCAGCAAAACAAACTAGAAACCCCATCTCCCACCTACCCAAAAGTCATGTGTTGAAGTAATTGTCAGACTTGGTCTTGTAAGCTGTATCTATGCTTCACTCATGCTGCCCTAAGTATTTTGTTCCCAGCTGTGGCCTTTAGAACTTTCCAGAAAATTCTGTGAAACTTCAAGGCTATGATAAATCCTTTCCCCTTACTTTCTCCTACATAAAAAAAGTTAATGGCACACCTGCTATGAAATTAATATTCTTCTTACCTCTGGGGAATACTTATAAACTTATTTGAGAAGTATTATGCATTAAAATACCCCAGGAGAGCAAAAGAGGGAAGAAAATTATTTACCCACCACAGGGTTCATTTATATTGGATCAGAAAACTTCAAATATCTTTCCCCAGCCCATTTAAGCTCTTGCCAGAAAGGAATGAGAAGGGAGACAGGAACACCAAATCCATGGCTTGATCATCTACCAAAAGGTACCAGAGAACTGAAAACAGAGTTCTATAGGGACACTTCGCCAGTGGTCCCTGAGTGCTTATACTAAGCAGCCAACCCTATAAGGAACAATTCATAAAATACAGAAAACTAAATACAGTGAGAAGGTCAGTATTTACTTCAGAATACTGGCAGCTAGAAGGATGAATGTGATGTTAAGCTCCAAACCAAACTGATGGCCTGCCAAGCAGTGCTCATGTCCATCCATTTCCAGGACTACGAGACTTGGACCTGCCAGGTTTTTTGTTTGTTTGTTTGTTTGTTTTGGTACCGGGAGTCAAACTCAGGACCTTGCACTTGCTAGGCAGGCACTTGTGCCACTGAGCTATATCCTCAGCCCTTCTGCCACAGTTTTAACATCACTTGCCCCAAACCTCGCTCATTAGTCTCCCTCACAGTCCACCTTGATCATTACCAAAGAAGCCTTGGGAAAGAGCCTGTCTCTCAGCTTACAAATCTCTCTGGTTAACCCGGCCCACCGAGCTCGTGCTGTGTGTAAGCAGGGCTGGCTGAGGCTGATCTTTGTGATCAGCTGAGGCAGGGAAACAATAAGCCAGATGTGTGTGCATTGTGGGTCAGGGAGACTTGTGAGCCAGTGTCCATGGCACAGGGTAACTCGGGGAAAGCCCAGAGATGACCCAACAGCCTGCCACGCAGCAGATGGCAGCGGGCCCCTTCCCCAGGAGCAGGGAGTTAGGCAGTGTTGTGACTTGTGTCTAGACATCCCCCCAAAGCATCATGCAGTCATAAGTGGGGCTTCTTCAGAGCTTGCTGGATCTAGAATGTGTGATGCTAGGGTGAAGGGCGTGTGATTACTAGACTAGTCTGTTGACTGGGTTGGTACCCACGCTAAGCCAGGTAGCCTAGATAGAATATAAAAGGGGCAGAAAGAAGCTGCAATTGTCACTTGTGGCTTGTTGTTGCTATTGCCTGCTTTGCTGTCTTCTGCCTGCTGTAAACCCTTTCTGCTCTGTGATGCCCTTCTGCCATGCTACCGTGCCTTGGAGCCAGGAAGTGAAGCCTCTGCAGACTGTGAACCAAACAAACTTTCCTCCCTTAATTTGTGAGTGTTGGGTATTTTGTCTCAGCAAACAGAAAAAGTAACTAAGACAGGCAGTTTACACAGCAAGGCAGCAGAACCCCAGAGGTCACATCCCAGCACCCTGAGATACGCTTTCCTTCTGTTGTGAATGCAGCGTAGACAACACAGGTCCCTTCGACGACAGTGTCAAGCGAGTCTCGTCACCAGCTCTGCCAGTCCTGAAGCTTTGCATGTAAGGGTTCAGGCGGCAGTCAGGTTAGATCAGAGGATTTGCAGCGTGTTTGTACAGCATGTCATACGATGCTGGGGAAACATCAGTGGTCCTTATCAAAGAACTGAGCAAGCTGTGCTTAGGGACTAATCTCACTAAGACCCTTCCGTGCTGCTGCGAGCAAGCGTCAGATTTCAATGCAGACATTGTTCTGTTGGCTTACACTGGGTATTGTCCATCTGACTCAAATTCATGAATATCATATTGACTGTACAATATAATTATACATACTGTATATAATATACATTATATTGACTTTGTTTTCTGTAGTCTTGATGCTCAGGCATTTGTGGATCTTACAGTCCACCCAGGGCTAGCTCACTCCTGAAGACAATAATCACTTCCCCATGAGTGAGCCTTTATATGCAGACCAACCAGTCCTGAATCTGTACCCTCTCTGGAATCTCCCTGTAAGTCTCCCACACCAAGCCCCTCTGCCCTGACCATTCCAAGGCAAGGCAACTAGAGACTACCTCTGGAATTCCAAAGCCTGCTAGAATCACTCAAATTTGCCAGTCCTGACCTGCTTGCTGGCTCAGCCGTGCCTTTACCCAGGAAGCCCCGGTAAAGGCTGTGGCCGAAACTTTCCCTCCACTCCCTGCCTTCTGTCTGACACTGCTTTCTCTGTGACCAGTGACTGTGTGGCATGCAGTGTGACCACCCTCTCTGGGACCTGTGAATGTAATCAGCTTCTAGTCTTCTCCCAAACCTCTCTCCCTTTTCCTCCTGTGGCCGCACTGACTTCACCATACTGTATCCACCCTGAAGATTCATGGGAAGAATACCTTTAACATGCAGTACCAGCGAGCAACAAAAATACAGATTAGTTTACATCACCCAGTTCTGGGCCACTATCAGAGCACTTCATTATGGGCTTTATTGCACAGGGGTGTTTCGCACCATGTGCTTCGCTAGCCTCAGTCTAGCTCCAGCCAAACAAGAAGGATGTAGATCCCGCAACGTGGGACAATTGCCTGGCTGCCCTCCATCAAAATTTCATGCTTTCCTGTCCTGAGGCCTCTTTCATTTTATTTAGTAGCTGTTTCTACATTCAGAAACAAAAATCAAGCACAGCTGAGCAACCTGGTTGGACGTCGCAGAGAGAGTCGCAGAGAAGCCAGCCTCACTTTCAGTGCAGGGGAGATGGAAGAGTTCTCTAAAAAAACCACTCGGAGGGCTTTCATGTGCTGTAAAGAAAAGCAGGGAAGCCTGTTTCTGAAATGGATGAAGAAATAGGTTAGAGGGGAAGATAACATCTGAAAATTGATATTGTCTCTTGCTGAGCTGGCAGAATCCCAAGAGAAGAATGATGATTCTTCAATTGTTAACAATTACTACTTTGTTACAGAGAGACTGGGGAAGTACAGTGGCCCCTTTCTCAAATTACACTTATGATACAGAAGCACACACACCTCCTGGAAAAAAATACCTGGCACCCTGGGTTGTTAGCCTTGTACCCACCACCACATCTTGTAGCAGAGTTGTGTGGTCCTGGGTAACAGCCACTCAGTTTGGGTGGAAGAAGATCCAGTCCTTCCTCATAGCCTTGAATCAGGCAAGAACTCACAACACCGCCTTAGTCCGTGAGTGTTGGCACACAGCTCCAAGTGATGGCCGATCCTCTGGTTAGTGCCTGCTGAACCACACTCCTTGCTGCTTTCGATGGGATACTTGTTAGAGCCACATAGCTTTGCTTTACCATCTTTGTATCCTCAGGACATAATTGTTCCTGAAAGCTCTAATGAAAGAAAATGGCGTGCTGTGCCATGTCTGGTTTTGGAAAAAAGCAAGCTTTGTACAAGGAAATATTTATAATTCTGCTCACATGATCTTTAGAGTTTGAACCAGGCTCCAAGGAGTGTGGGTGTTTAACTGCAGGGCTTGGAGAATGATGACTTGAAGTATATTGCCCTGTTGACATGATTGGCATTGATATCTATCCTTTATTCCTTCAATTGTGTCATAAAAGAAAAGACTCGGTTTCCTTGTAAGTCCTGAGAGTGGAGACCCTCACTAGCAAACTAAAACAATAGGCCCTTATACATCTATGTCCTCATCTTTCAAACATGTAGGTATTTCCAGGGAGCACTGCAGGCATCAAGGGGCTCTCTGCTCTTGAAACCTAAATCAGGGAATCCAGTTATCTGATGCCAGAGAGAACATCTGAATGTATGCACTATCCTTGTAGCCACATCATTAAAACATAACTGGCGTTCCCAATGTCAAGTGGGGATATGAGCTGAAAAACCAGTCTGATTGTAGGATGATAAAGTGAAAAAAGTCAGCTAGTTGGAAGTCACTGTAGTATTGTTGTTGTTGTTTTTTTTTAAGTAAAAGTATCACTTTTTAATTCTTATTGTGGTGAAAGAGTTTTTTCCTCCTTCCATTCACTTCTAATTTTCCTCCCATGACAATTAAGACATGAAAAAGCCTGATGAGCAACTGTGAAAACAACTACTCAAGAGGCTGAGGCAGGAGGATTGAAAGTTTCAGGCCAGCCTGGGCAACTTAGTGAGATCCTGTCCCAAAATAGAAGGAGCCAGGTGTGATGGCACAAGCCTATAATGCTA